TGGAAAGTACAATGCCTGCACTTTAACCCTTAAACTGTCCAAACATAGATCTACGTCCACATGCGGGGGGGCTCCGAACATAGATCTACGTTTTTTTTTACATGCTTTCAAATGGGGAAAATCAAGGTCGGAGCGCTACGCACGTGAACATAGACCTACGTTTGGACAGTTTAAGGGTTAAAGGAGGGGGTTGGGGTATTCACAGTTTGGAGGGACTTCTAAACTGTCATATCTGAGCGCCTCTGCAAAGACAGTGATTATGTATGAGTGATTGAGTGATGGTGAAAGTGTTGAATGATGATGAAAGTATTTCTTCTTTCCTTTTGGGTTTTTCTTTCTTTTTAGGTCACCCTGCTTCGGTGGGAAACGGCCAATGTGTTAAAAAAAAAAAAAGGATTTTTAGTAGAATGAGCAGAGAACAACATACCACAGTTATAACCTGAGAGAAGTTGGGATAACAAGAGGAGATAAGAGCTACAACCACTGGAATTACCTGAAATCACAATCATTTATCTCAGAAGATGAGACGGCTAGCATAGCTGTGCTCCTGCAACACCCCTTGAGGGAGTTTCCTTGAATTCCTTGAGGGGTTCTTCATCCAAGAGATTTGACTCTATTATCCCTTGGCTTGAGCCTGATTGCCTGTCATTTTCCCAAGCACTGTATGACCCTACAGGTTTAGTGTTCCCACCACAAATGTAATATGCTTGAACTGATGAATCCAAAAGGAATGTGAGAGAGCTGTATAGACGAGAGACTAAACTTGCAACTAGCACAGGATGAAGTGCACCATCCCACATAAAATTGCCTGTAATGTAAATGAACCGGAACTGAATGTTCTGCACAAAAATCTAAGTTTTAAAACAGGATTAGTAGAAGAGCAATATAGAATCATTAATAAACCATCTATTTAAAGGATTTCAGAAATATTAGACAAAATCCACTTGCTCGAGTGATTTGAAAAAAAAGGCCAAAGTCAGTTGGTTACAGAATTGTCCATTATTGCTATGATCGCAGCAAAACTATCTCATCTCTCCACCACAAATTGAGGGTTTACTGTACAGTATTTCTTCCAAATTTTTGAATAGGAAATGTGAAAAATAAAATACTGTACAAAATATAGTGCTGTACTTAATATCAGTTTCACGAGTTTCTTGACACAAGATTTTACTTGAACAGTGTACTTAAATTCTTAGTCAGCTGAGATTGAGTCTGTTGAACTGACTCTGAAAAAGCCTAAAAATCTACTACATTAGAGGCCCTGATTGAAGGGTTCTTGATATAAGGAATTGAAGCCTACCCTAATGTTCCTCAAATCAAACTTTATTGTTTCCCATTCATCAGCATTAAACCCATAGGGGTTTAGTGCTTCCCACTAATATTGTAATGCTATGACAGTTTTAAAAATTAAAATCAAGCAAATGGGCAGAATTCATTTACTTGAATTTCCAAAAAGTTTGATAAGAGATTCTCTAGCATGGCTAATCTAGAAACTGCAAAATGCAGGAAAATAAAGTCCAACTTCTTTGTTTGCACAAAAGAAAAGGTGAGAAGAGGAAGAATGTCTTCAAATTTCCTGCCAAGAGGAAACTGAAAGGTAGGCATACTACATATTCTTGAACTATCAGAAGGTCTTCTGGAAAAGCAGGCTGGGATATCAGAAAGGGCATTCAGATACAAAAGAAAAAGTATGTTCCTTACAGAGAAGAAAGAAGACATATTTAAGGGACATTAGAATGGATTAGAAGAAGTACAGTGAGCCCTCAATATCATGAACCTCGAGATAATTGACTTCTGAAATACACAGAAAAAATTCCCTGGGTAAATTGTATTTTTGACTTTTTTATTTTCAGTGTTCATTATAGTATCTGTGTAAAGTGCGTGTACGGTACTATATCAAGTAAACATTAGAGTACTTGAGTGTTTTTTCTGTGATTTTTCAGCGTTATTTTGGTTTAACGGATACTTGGAGAATCCTCCTCCTAGTCAATTATGTCAAGAGTTAACTATAATAAGTAAAGTTTCCCAATGATCATTTGTCAGTGCCTCTGTTTATGATACACACAGATGGCCTGTCTGGGCAGAATGATTCCTCTGTCAGTACAGTGGACCCTCGACTAACGCTATTAATCCGTTCCTGAGAGCTCATCATTAGTCAAGTTAATTTTCCCCATAAGAAATAATGGAAATCAAATTAATCCATGTAGGACACCCCAAAGTATGAAAAAAAAAATTGTTTTTACCACATGAAATATTAATTTTAATACACACAAACTGAAGAAGACATGCACAGTTACATGACACTTACCTTTATTGAAGATCTGGTGCTGATTGATGGGATGGGAGGAGGGGAGAGTGTTGATGGTCTTAGTGTTTAGAAGGGGAATCCCCTTACATTAGGACTTGAGGTGGCAAGTCCTTTTCCGGGGTTACTTCCCTTCCCTTTAAATCTCTCAAACCAACCTTTGCTGGCCTTAAATTCACTCACATCACCACTGGTTGCTGGCATTTTTTTAATTAAATAGTCATGCAACTTCCTAGCCTTTTCACATATGATCGCTTGAGAGATGCTATCTCCTGCTATCTGTTTTTCATTTATCCACACCAATAACAGTCTCTCAACATCTTTGAGTACTTGCGATCTCAGTTTCGAAAACCTAGTTGCACCTTTGGCAAGAACAGCTTCCTTGATTGCCGTTTTCTTGGCCACAATAGTAGCGATGGTTGATTGGGGTTTTGTGTACAACCTGGCCAGCTCGGAGACACGCACTCCACTTTCATACTTAGCAATGATCTCTTTCTTCATAGCCATAGTAATTCTCACCCTTTTTGCTGTAGGGTTGGCACTAGAAGCTTTCTTGGGGCCCATGGTGACTTATTTTGCAGGTGCAATCACTAAAAAGGCTGTGATAATATGAAATGTTCTGATTGTATGCTTGGAAGCGACCGCGGTGGCTGGTTGGTTTGTAAACACTGGCCAGAAGTGGACGCGTCTCAGACGGTATGAATAGTGTTGGTCAAGTTTTTTAGCGCTAGTCGAGGCAAAAATTTTGCGTTAAAATGTATCGCTAGTCAGATTTATCGTTAATCGATGCCATCGTTGGTTGAGGGTCCACTGTATTTGCAGGTGATGCAAAGCCCATCTGAAGAACTAATCTTTTTGGGTTTAGTGCTTCAGTTGATATCTTCATCATAAGAACTGAGATAATGACTTGAAAAAAGAAATGAGATGGAATGGATGCAAGAAGTGTCCAATAAATGGCTTCTCTTACTTAACCATGATGAGTGCAAAGTGATAATGTCAAAAGAAAGGAGACCAGTAGCACTGTACTATATTGTCTGAGAGACACTGCACTCTGTCAAAAAAGGGAAGAGGACCTATGCATAGACAACAGTAGACCTGTATCAAAAGGGTCACATTCACAGGTTGACATTGGTGGCTTGTGCAACACTGGCTTCTAATGGATTATGCAGCACCAGTGTGAATCCACACATTCAAACATGTAAGAAAGTTTAAACAGGCTGCTTCCTGAAACAAGGATTTGGTCAATGAGCATTAGTTTGAAAAAGTAAATTTCAGTACCTGATACTGAAAAAAAAGCTCAAGAGGAAACAGTCATGACATGCAAGATACTTGTATGTAACAAAAAATAACAAAAAAAAAAAAAAAGGCACAATACCGTGACTGGAATGATACATAAATAACTCGCACATAAAAGAGAGAAGCTAACGACGACGTTTTGGTCCGACTTGGACCATTTACAAAGTCACACTAACCAGAAGTGGAGCAGGACGGCTATATATAGGCAGGAAGAGGTGGTAGTAGTAGTAGTACTACAAGAATGGTATATAATACCGACAAGATGAAATTAGGACACATGCGCAACACCCGGGCATCTCTATCGTAGACGCTTCGCCACCCAGCCAGCCACTGGATGGCAAAACGTCCACAACAAAGACACGCAGATGCCGCACATGTCTCAATTTCATCAGTAGTAGTGGTAATGGTAGAAGTGGGGAATAAGGAGGACGAGCCAGTCAAATACTACTACTACTGATGAAATTGAGACACGTGCGGCGTCTGGGTGTCTTTGTTGTGGACGTTTCGCCATCCAGTGGCTGGCTGGATGGCGAAGCGTCTACGATAGAGATGCCCGGGTGTTGCGCATGTGTCCTAATTTCATCTTGTCGGTATTGTATACCATTCTTGTACTACTACTACTACTACCACCACCACCACCTCTTCCTGCCTATATACATGTATAGCCATTCTGCTCCACTTCTGGTTAGTGTGACTTTGTAAATGGTCCAAGTCGGACCGAAACGTCGTCGTAAGCTTCTCTTTTATGTGCGGGTTATTTGTGTATACAGTGGACCCCTGTTTAACGATATTTTTTCACTCCAGAAGTATGTTCAGGTGCCAGTACTGACCGAATTTGTTCCCATAAGGAATATTGTGAAGTAGATTAGTCCATTTCAGACCCCCAAACATAAACGTACAAACGTACTTACATAAATACACTTACATAATTGGTCGCATTGGGAGGTGATCGTTAAGCGGGGGTCCACTGTACTTGTATGTATAGACAAGGTGGATAAATGTGCTGGTTTAAAAGTCATGGGACTAAAGTAACGAGGTCTACATAGAAATTATATACCAGACTGAGTCTGGTTTAAGAAACAACTTGAGCATAGGAATAGTAAACAAGTGCCATGCTCTGGCAAGTAGAAGCACACTGTGCATGTGCATGAATTCAAAGTCAAATACCACTACCCTACGGGTAGTGGTATTTGACTTCCATTTCATATTTTGAGGTGGTCCTATTAACTAGAACTTGATCCTTACAATGATAAGAGTGCAGCATATGACTGTGCATCCACATAAGCATAAATATTCATTTTTTAATATTGTATGAAAGACATTTGTGTTACTGAGCCAGTTAAGCTCTTCTCAAAATGATTATAGTATATATTTTAATTATTGTATTTGTAATTATTAGGATGAAAAGTATGCATTCAAGGACTGGGTTCAACTGAAGAACTGCAAGGTGCAGAACACAGTTGTTGGTGGGGCCCATGGCAGTGGTACAAAAACTAAGCAGAATAGCTTTTATCTGGTAGTTAATGGTAACGAGAAGGCATACACCATCGTCGCCAAGGATAGTGATGCCAAGGAGAAATGGATGAAGAACATAAGTGAAGCCATGTAAGTCTTTTTTGCATAATCATTCAGACTAAAACCCCCATCAAGGGAGGTGCATTGATGCTGGTGAATAGTTCCTTTTCCAGAAATATGGAGTTTGTCCCCTTGGTTCAAACCTGATTGCCTCTCATTCACCAGGTACTGTGTAATCCTTATAGGTTTACTGCTTCCCTATATGTATAATAATTACAATAATGAGACTAAAACATTAATTTTTCAGATGTTTCATGTTGTGGCCATATTGCATCATATGGATGCATGGACATGATGCTGTGTAATACTTGATTGTTTATCCTCCACAAGGAGGTAGACATAATAGATGAGTTGTGACAAAACATTTCTTCATTCTCTCTAAACAATTTACTGTTTAATTTGGTTTATGTCAGGTAAAACTATGTTTATGTAATACCTATTTAACCCCTTGACTGTCGCAACCCCCAATCCTGAGGTGTCTCCTGGTGTCGCAAAATTTCAAACAAAAACAAAAATAATTTTTTCTTAGGAAATGATAGAGAATCTTTTCCCGATTGTAATGACACCAAAAAAACGAAATTTGATGGAAAACTGACGGAATTATGCTCTCGCGAAGCTAGCGACCTCGGCGATATTTACAAATCGGCGATTTCGCCCACTTTGGGCCCTATTTTCGGCTAATTCCTTTGTTCCAGTCGACTCCATTTTTTCTATCGATTGAGTACAAGAAACTGCCCATTTACCGATTTCAACTACCCAATAATGTGGTCAGAAATTTGCAATTTGGCCAATTTCACGAAAATTAAAAATATGACATTTCAATATAAGGCCCAGAATGAACAGTGCAGACATTCCTGGCTCTAAAATAACATTTTCTTTGTTCATCAGTCATGTCTCCAGGCCCCTCTGATATTACTCTTGCTTTCTATTTTGAATTTTTATTCAAACAAAAAATAGAAGACTACTATTATGCAGACTACTGCAATACTGTAAAATTGTATAAATAACATCAACCCATTCATGACTGCATATTAGAATGGCTAGTTGGACATTTATTGGACAATGGCATCATTTGTGTACTTTTAAACATTGGCAAAAATTGGAGCTCCATTTCCAGGTTCTTTTTATAGTAAAATCAATCAAAATCACCTCTGTTTCTATAAAATGTTTTCCATTCTATCAAATGAGACCAAGAAAATGAGAATACGACCATAAATACTATACGAAAATAGACCACAAAGTCGGCATTTTAATTAAAAAAAATGGTCGGAGTTTTTTTTTCTCATATATAGGTGGAGACATGATCACTGTGGCCACAGTGGTGGTGGTGGCCATGGTGGTAGTGGTGGTGGTGGCGGCCACAGTGGTGGTGACAGGCAGCTGCCCCACTATGCTGCTGCCTTCTTCGTTTCTCTAGCTTTTTTCATAGTTTCTAATCGCTTCTTGCTGATCGTATGCAAATACTGTCTCTTTGAGTGAGGCATTGTGTAAGAAATTTATACAGTATAAGACAAAATTACGCATCCCAAAGTCTGCTGCGGTCACTCAGAGCGGCACACCTTCTCCTTTTGACACTTGGTCAGCACTGAGTTAGCTGTGGTTGTAGCATCTGTACCTACAGCCACCCAGAGGGTTACCAATTTCTATTCTGAAGCATTTGGCACAAAAATTTGAAAATATGAAAAATGTCTAAAAAAACAACATATTATTATTACTATTATATTGTATTATTATTATTATTATAATTATTATTATTCTTAGTACGTATGTACGTACTAAGTAATTAATCCGTTCCTGGAAGTGTGACTATTATCGAAAATGACGATTTTTTAATCCATTTTTCCCATGAGAAATGATGTAAATACAATTAATCCGTTCCTGACACCCAGAAGTATTAAAACAAAAAAATTTTTTACATGAAATATAGATGTAGTACATACACAATACAATGGGACATGATGAATGAAACATTAACAGCATAACATTTACCTTTATTGGCGATTTTTCTTAGTGTATGGAAGACTGGAGGAGGAGAGATTGGATTAGTTACTGTTTGGAAGGGGAATCCCCTTCCATCAACACCTCAGGTGCCAAGTCCTTTTCTAGGGTTACTTCTCTTCTCTGTTTCTTAATGCCACTAGGACCAGCTTGAGAGTCACTGTACACCTGTGGCACTAAATACTTGTCCAGAGAGCTCTGTTTCTGGCGTCTCTTTAAAACTTCCCTAAAATGGGCCAAGACTTTGTCACTGTACAAGTTGCCGATATGGCTTGCAACAGCCTTGTCAGGGTGATGTTTCTCCATAAATCTTTCCATCCTACCCCACATTTCAAAAATCTCTTTAATTTCTGAAGAAGGCAACTTCTTCTATCTCTCTTCCTCCTCCTCTGCTGCAATATTCTGAGCTGCAGTCTGTTGCTGTTCCTGCTGAAGCTCTTGCAGCTCCTCAGTGGTTAGCTCTTCTTTGTGGTCCTCCACCAACTCTTCCACATCCTCCAAACTCACATCCAACCCCATGGAACTCCCCAATGCCACAATAGATTTCACAGCTGTCATAGGCTCATCAGGGTCAGCCCCAAACCCTTCAAAATCCCTCTTGTGGACACAATCTGGCCACAATTTTCTCCAAGCAGATGTCAGTGTTCTAGTAGTCACTCCCTCCCAAGCCTTACCTATAAGGCTTATGCAATGGAGGAGACTGAAGTGATCTTTCCAAAACTCTCTTAGGGTCAAGTGAGTGTCTGAGGTCACATTAAAGCACCTTTGAAACATTGTTGTAGAGTTTTTTAAAGTTTGAAATGATCTGCTGGTCCATGGGCTGGAGGAGAGGAGTGGTATTAGGGGGCAAGAACTTTACTGTGATAAACCAGACTCCTCCAGAATTAGGTCCTCCAAGTTTGGAGGATGAACAGGTGCATTGTCCATAACTAGGAGGCACTTGATATCCAATTTCTTTTCCAAGAGGTAATTCTTCACACTATGGCCAAACACTTCGTTGAACCACTTGACGAAAATTTCCCTCGTGACCCATGCCTTATTATTAGCTTTCCAAAACACACACAACTTACTCTTCATAACATTGTTTTTCCTGAACACTCTGGGATTTTCAGAATGATACACTAGTAACGGCTTCACTTGGAAATCCCCACTAGCATTAGCACAGAACATGAGTGTCAACCTGTCTTTCATAGGCTTGTGTTCTAGCAGTCCCTTTTCCTCCTGAATAATGTAGGTCCTCTTTGGCATTTTCTTCCAAAAGAGGCCTGTTTCATCACAGTTGAACACTTGTTCAGGTTTTAATCCTTCAGCCTCTATGTACTCTTTGAATTCACTTATGAATTTTGTAGCTGCAATTTTGTCCGAACTGGCAGCCTCGCCATGCCTTATCACACTGTGTATGCCACTACAGTTCTTAAATCTCTCAAACCAGCCTTTGCTGGCCTTAAATTCACAAATATCAGTACTCATTGCAGGCAATTTCTTTATGAGATCGTCATGCAACTGCCTAGCCTTTTCACAAATGAACAACTGCATAAGACTATCTCCTGCTAATTGTTTCTCATTTATCCACACCAGTAGTAACTTCTCAACATCTTCGAGTATTGGTGATCTCATTTTTGTCAGTGGAGTTAATAAAAGTATTAGAGGGCTGAAGAGGGTTTTTTGGGGTGGTTTGGTCATTTAGAAAGAATGGATCAAAGTAGAATGACATGGAGAGTGTTTAAATCTGTAGGGGAAGGAAGGCGGGGTAGGGGTTGTCCTCGAAAAGGTTGGAAGGAAGGGGTAAGGAAGGTTTTGTGGGCGAGGGGCTTGGACTTCCAGCAGCCATGTGTGAGCGTGTTCGATAGGAGTGAATGGAGACGAATGGTATTTGGGACCTGACGATCTGTTGGAGTGTGAGCAGGGTAATATTTAATGAAGGGATTCAGGGAAACTGGTTATTTTTATATAGCCGGACTTGAGTCCTGGAAATGGGAAGTACAATGCCTGCACTCTAAAGGAGGGGTTCGGGATATTAGCAGCTTGGAAGGATATGTTGTGTATCTTTATATGTATATGCTTCTAAACTGTTGTGTTCTGAGCACCTCTGCAAACACAGTGATTATGTGTTAGTGAGGTGAAAGTGTTGAATGATGAAAGTATTTTCTTTTTGGGTCACCCTGCCTCGGTGGAAGACGGCCGACTTGTTAAAAAAAAAAAAATTACCCCCTTTGCAACAACAGCTTCCTTGATTTCCTTTTTCTTGGCCACGATGGAAACTATGGTTGTATGGGGTTTCTTATACATCCTGGCCAATTTGGTCACACATATGCCACTTTCATATTGTTCAAGGATGTTTTTCTTGGATTCAATTGTATTTCTCACCTTCTTTACCAAAGGCCTGACACTAGGAGCTTGCTTTGGAGCCATAGTAGCTTATTTAGCAGTTGCAAGCACTAAAATGAATGGAATATTATGAAATATTTCGTATGAACAAGGGAAGGGATCGTCACTCACTGGTAAACAATGACACACTGGCTGGGAAGGGAGGGCGAGGTGGCTCAGAGGCATGTGTATGCGTCCGGGACGAATGACTATTTGTGAGTAAAACGACGATTCGCGAGCCAATGTTTTGATGAAAATAACATTACAATTTCCGAAAATTACGACCATCGAGCCTGATGATTATTGAGGGACCGCTGTACTATTATGTTGTTATTATTATTATTAATACATACAGTGGAACCTCAAAAATCGAACTGCTCCCAACACAACCAATTATGTAAGTGTATTTTTGTAAGTGCTTTTATAAGTGTATTTTTAACCCTTTGAGGGTTTTGGTCGTACTAGTACGTCTTACGCGTAGGGGTTTTTGACGTACTAGTACTCATAAATTCTAGCGGCCTCAAATCTAGTGGGAGAAAGCTGGTAGGCCTTCATATGAAAGAATGGGTCTATGTGGTCAGTGTGCACAGTATAAAAAAAATCCTGCAGGACACAGTGCATAATGAGAAAAAAAAACTTTGAACCATTTTTTTGGAATAAATCAG